AAAAAAAAAAAACTTCTGCAAAGCTCTTCCATGTGGGATTTCTTAGACCGAAATACACTTTATTAAATGAAAAAAAAGAATACATAAATGAATATATAAATATTTTTCAATCTGTAGAGTACCACATTAGTAAATATGCTCAATTAACTGCTAAATACAATAGATTTAAACTTCACTCCTCCATTCTTTTTCAATGTGAACCAACTTCTAAAACAGAAGGGGCTTAATTTTAGACAAAATTATTTTTGTTAATTCTTATTATGCTTAAAATCCATTGATATTGATAAAGTGAAAACACATGAAATAAGATGTTTAAATCTGTGTCCACAATGATAAGCAGGAAGGAAAAGTCATTGGGATTCTTTGGTGGATGTCAAGAAACCAGTTTTCTGAAAGCTAGTAAATTAAGAGAGAGGCAAGAAGGAAGCATTTTTGACTCCTCCATTTCCTGAACACAATGTACTTTGGAGTGACAACAAAGACCATTTTGTACACTCAAAATTATCAATCTAGACAAGGATCAATCATCATAAAAGCCTATGCCAGACATCAGACACAAGTGCACATTTAACCCCTTACCCGAAAGATTCTAACTGGATTTCTTCAAGTTGCTAGATTTTTAACTACCGGTGTGCAGGCATTACGATGGACAGGGGACATGGTAAGCAACACCACAGAGATGCAGTAGGTAAAACCCAGAATGTAGAATTTCTACAGGGTTAATCAATTCCCTTCAAAATAAAACACTTAAGAGGCACACCATTCAAATACAATGGGTGCTCTTTACTTGGCTGCTCTTTTGAGGGAAGCAAAAATAAAAACTATTTGATGCCTTTGGGTGTGGCTAAAAGGGCAGGTACAGACAGGTGAGGTGAACCAGAACGGCCAGTGCTGATACCTGGTGGATTTGGATGGTTAGTTTATAGGAGCGATTGTGCTACTCTGTTTTTGTAAATGTCTTAAAATTTTTTCTTAAAGCTAGATAAGAAAAAACATTGGTAACAGCCACTCAAATCTCCAAAGGAAGAAAGCGTCAAATGGCAATGACGGCACATGGGCTGCATTGCGGCATTACAGAAACACTGCCCGGTGCTTCCGAGCACTTCTTTCTTGCTCACCCAGCCTCAAGACGGTTTCTAAAGCATCAGTAAATCACGATCGACTTGCTGGAACACACACACACACACACACACACACACACA